GTTTGAAAATAAATCTACAAATAAATGTCTTAATTTAATGTTCACTAATTAGATGTTTCTTTCTTTTACTGACATGACATCTCATAGTCTCCCTCAACAGTTAAGAAGATCAAACTTTATTCCCAGAGGAGGACCTTGAGACTTTGAAAAGTGCTCAATGTAATAAGTCCACCTTAAGTTTACACTTCTTTGACAAAAATGTAATTTAATAGATTAAAAAAAATGTAAGGAACTGTTTTGACATTAAAGATAGTGTATTTATTAAAAAGAAAACCCTAATATAGACATGTTCATTTATAAACTTATTATAAAAGTGTGGGAAGTTGCTATGATACATTTGTGTAAATAACTCAGTGTGTAAGTTAGGCCTACAGTGCGAGACTTTCACCTTTAAGTTTACACAGGTCAAACATCAAAATGCCACCTAGAAATGTGAAGTTACTTAAAGAGAGTGTGACAGCCTTGCCGATTAGCTTGGACATTTTGCCCCTCTATTCCTTTTGCCTGAGGGGAATCCTAAAAATAAGTGAACGTCGCTTTAAATGTGCAGATAAACGCAATGTTTTAAAGAAACAACTTAGCATTCTTTGACTTTTGGGACATGTCTGCTGCCTGAAAGCATCTCGGCCCTCGGACTGAAATTGGGTTTTTTGCCGTTCGACCCTCCCGGTGCGACTCAGACATTCTCAGACAGTTTTCTTTAAACATTTCCAGACAAAAGAGAAACAAAAATGGCAGCCTTATTTTTATAAGGCGGGACGCCATATTCTGCAGACCCCAAAAATGTAGGAGCGTGAACATCTGATCGCGAGGAGTTTGTTGGGGGGAATAAGCGAGGCGAGGCGGACACAAAGGTGTGTTTATCATGTCAAAGGCATGAATGATTGTTTACGGCAAATTGCAGGTTTGAATAGCCCGGCCTCCCCACCTCCAAAAAAAACTGACACTTCCTACAACAACCATGCCCTGCAAAAACAGCACGGAAACGGGCAAGATGCCGCTCGACCCAAACAGCACATCGATTAAAAACAACCGTAGCACCGCGTTAAGGTCAAAATGTAACCGGCGCACAATGCCCTTCCTCCCGGAGGACGCTGTGCCATCCTAACCAAATTTCACTTTTAGGGCTGCTTTTTTCACATTCTGCAACTTTTGGACGAATCAAAGGACAGCAATTGCGATGTGTGCAAAATGCACGCATTTAGGAGGCTATCGGTTATGAGATGAATGCACAGCAGCGAATACACGAAAAACACACGCACAATTACCTTGTGTCCAGATTGCAGATATTGTCTTGCGAGTACAGCTATAATATAAAAGCTTCTTTCTGCCTGCCTCCAGTCAGACCACCGCTTCCGGGTCGCTTTGTTCACTTCTGGGTGCTGCTGCTGCGAGCTCTGTACAGTACACACACAGAGGGGAATATTGTGCTAATGTTGCTGTGGATTTTACCACGGTGACCTACTTTGTTCACGTTTAACGGACAGCGTGCCTGCATGATTTTAATAACGTTATTTCAGCGCGTGTTTGGGTAGGATTTAGCAGATCACATCCGCAGGGCTGGAAGTAGCACAGCCTAAAATAGCAACGCTACAATGTACTATACTCCAAAGAAAAGTACTGTATCCAAAACGTCACTCAAGTCAAGCTACGTTACCGACTATTGATTGTAGCAAGATAAAAAAGAAACATTTATAAAATAACGGCCCATTTCAGAGCGTTACATGCATCACATAAAAAATACATCACATATACTGTAAACCCATCTTCATCATTATGTGTTATACGTGACATTTGACTATATTATTATAGGCCTGCTATAAATAAAACACCCTGGAAGATAAATACAGGGAAGATACAAATGTAATGTTTCTAAAATGTATGTAAGTGAAAAAAGTAGTAGTATTTCAAACTTAAATGCACCTGTATCCCAATCTGAGTCAAAGCCATGACTCCATAGAAAGAGTTGATTTGATATTTCACTTGATATTACCAGACGTATCATTAATAAAATGTTACAACAATGAACTATTTACAAAACAAATAAACAATACTTTAAATACAAACTATTGACCAAAACAGGATTGAAACAGAGTTGTTTTAATGTCTTGTTACTTGCTTCATTTTACAATGTAGTCATATAACAATGTTATAATTAGCTTGGACATTTGTTACGTCTACACCTCCATATAACCAAAGTCATGCTTCTATGAGGATGGTTTCATAGGATTCATTTGTATGTTAATACAGCTGAATCCAAGTGTACTACTGCATTTTTCCCCCAAATGTTGACATAGTTCCAGTGCAATTTCAGTGTTCCATGACATGAATAGGATTATATTTTGAAGATATTATTTAAGGTTAAATAAAACTAGATTTTTGTCAACTATTTTAGGCATCAGTTAAAAAAGAGGCTCCAATAATATATTTCTGCAAGTTTCCATAGTCATTCATTTAGCCTGCGGTTATTTCTTGCATATACATTATATTTTATAAGCTTTGAGACACATATATATATAATAATACAAAGACTATGATTTTTTTCTGTTCACTTGCACCCATACACAGCTGTTTTTGAAGCATAGTCCTAAAAATATCCACACGTTTTATTGTGTGTTTAAAGGCTCTACAGTCAATTGAACTTTCATGTTTGATTTTATACATTTTAAATTGATTCCCTCTGATCAGGGATTGAGTTTATCAATCAATCAATGTTTATTTATATAGCCCAATATCACAAATGTTACATTTGTCACAGTGGACTTCACAGTTTGTACAGAATATCAGTATGACAATACGACACCCTCTGTCCTTAGACCCTCACATCGTACAAGGAAAAACTTCCGGAGAAAACCCACAGTTTAAAGGGAAAAATGGGAGAAACCTCAGGGAGAGCAACAGAGGAGGGATCCCTCTCCCAGGACGGACAGACGTGCAATAGATGCCGATGTGTAAATTGAAAAGATAATACATTTGCAACATAGGTAGTCCAAATGTTTGGAAATGCATCTGTGTATAATAGGAAGATGAATCCACGAGGATATCCATCCAGGACTTATGATCCAGGACCAAAGCAACAGGCACAGCCACGACTCAAGATCCAGGGCTTGCGATCCAGGACTCAGGACCACAGCAACAGGATCATCCATCACTCCGGATCCCGGCGTATATAGACACCAAAAAGAAAGACATTTGGGGAAGCTGGGTTATTCGGAACATGAGAGTACACAGGTATAGACAGAGAGAAGTGAGAAGTAAGATGTCCCCCGACAAACTAAGCATATAGCAGCAAAACTAGGGGCTGAATCTAATCAGCCCTAACTATAAGCTTTATCAAAAAGGAAGGTCTTAAGCGCACTCTTAAAAACGGATAGGGTGTCTGCCTTACAGCACTTTATTGATCTGAAATCTGTCTACATTTGATTTAAAATTGAACTTAAATGTTCTTTCTTGCTTAAGAACAGAAAGAAAGTCAAGCTTCACTACTTTGCCCAATATATGCTTTGTGCCTACGTGCTTACACAGAAATGATTTGTTTGTCACCAGTTCCTGAAATAATAAGAGGTGCAGTGAATCATAGGAAACGATCAGGAGCCCATTGACGTTGCCACTGATAGTTGTGTCATTGTTTCCTGTTTCTCGCAACACTTCTCTGAAAACACCAGAGAACTGACATCTCCGACCCACATGCACACACACAGGCTTCCTTTAGAACTTTATCTGACTCAACTTACTCAACTTACGAGTCAATCTAAAGATGGCTTGAAGTGAGAAAGCCTCATCCTTCTGCACAATTTAGCAGTGTCCTCACATGGTGATGACAATTTTGACATCATCTGACAATTTTTTTTTTTTAAATGACTGAAACTAACATTGCTCTAAACTTCCTGACGTTCTGCTCTACCAACATGCACTTTGTTTTGGTAAGTAATCCAAATCACAAGTTTTATTTTTTTTTATCATTTTCCTGATAATTTAGCTACTATATCTGGATTATAGATCAGCATTTATACAGTTACAGTAATGCAAGTACCTTAAAAATTACCAACCTCACACATTATGTCTATTCTGCTTATTGAAGACTGGTTAAAGTGAGGGAAATTGTTATATGTGTCGTCATTTGTATATACTGCGGTGACTGAATCATGGTAGAGCATAGGTGACTGTAGGTGATGTTGCTCTGAGAGAAATATACAGTATTCTCTTGTGTGGTTTAAGTGTTAAGTTAGCGTTCAGACTTCACATTTTGCTTCTTACCCTTTGCTTCAAAACACCATGGCTGTACTGTTGATGAGAAGGCTCATATGTGGATGGTTTTCTGAACAATATGGCTCTGTAGATATTCCGCTTACTGTCATCAAATACCAATAACTACTTTATGCGACTGAATCCACTGAATCTTTAGCATTTGCATTTAAATAATAAGATTTGATGTTGTCTGTGAACACCAATAAGAAGCTTAGTTGCTGCACTATGAAATAGTTGCAGTGATAAAGTGACTGTGATAATGTTCTGTTTACTATCCCTTGGTAGTGTGTTTTTAAAATATTTATAAATATATATGTTAAATATTTGTGTTTTTGAATATAAATAATATATGTTAAATATTTGAATATACACAAGAAGACCTGAATGATGTATAAAAAGGTTCATACGAATAACACAAAAGATGCCCGAGCAATAACATGATGAGTTGTATTGTGTCATGTTTCTACTACAGCTGTAATTATATATGGCAGTTTGTAGTAGCGTGAAAGTCAGTTACCTTTGTGAGAATCTTCTTTCCACGCAGACCTGTAAACCTTTTTTTTTTGTAGGTGTTCCCACTGATACTCATCTTCCTATTCATCGGACAGAGTTACACTGAGGTTAAAACCCAAAATTCAGATTCATGTTTTAAACTATGCCCAGCCGGTAAGTTGTGAAAAGCGAGCTGTAGGACCTTGGCCTTGTCTTTTACAGTTATAGAGGAATAATCGCATGTGCACTCTTCCCCTTTCTTTTTTCCCTTTTGTTTCCCAGGATATCATAAAGTTGGTCCATGCGAAGGGAAAGCTGAAGGGTACAGATGTGAAAAGTGTGGTGATGGCACATACACAGCAATAGAAAACTCCGTAGGCGAATGTAGGCGTTGTAAGAGTTGTGAATGTAAGTACCTTATTCAAACCCAATTATAGACCCATAGAAACACATGCTGTCCACCTGTGGGATATATATATATATATATATATATGTTTGTGTCAGCTTTTGACGAAGATAATGAATTTGATTGACATTTTCTGGTTATTTAAATGAATGCTTTTTGTTGCAGTCCACATTTTTCCTTCTAACTATGAGATTAAATTATAATTTCTGCTACACCATTCTGATGAAAATGACTTTGAAACTGGAAAATATGATAACATTGTGGTTGAGTAGTAGAGGAAAGGTATTCAACATAGCTGGTTGAGGCTATATCTAAGATTAGAGACTTTGTGAATTCATACGCTGAGTGACATTTCTATTTTAGTAGTCATAGTATTAGATCATAAGAGTTTTTCTTATTGTCTGTTCCAACTACACAGACTGAACATGGAAAGAAATATGCTTTTCTTCTCTTATTTAGGATAGCCTGAAAAACAACTCGAAACTGATTATATTGTTCCCTTTGCTTGATTTTAAATCTCATATAAGTACAAATCGATAGGTACTTGTCATTTTGCATATCTATTTTAACATGTCAACTTGTTATTGCATTTCTTCTGAGTTTTCTGTGGTTGATGTCCAGGCTAGGTCTCCCTTGAAAATTAATCGTCAATCTCAACAGGTCTCACCTTGTTAAATATGGGTTGAATAAAAAAAACGAAATTTATTTTAATTCCAGGTTAAATAACATCTTGTCTTTAAGGTTATTCTTTATTACAAAAGTTGAATTAGATCGAAGAAATAAACTGTCCGCTGATTTAAGCAATGTTAAAAACAATAATCTAAATAATCTCCAAATCTTGTTTTCTGGTTTATATTGTACTTTGAAAAACCCTGAATCCATTTAGTCATGAATGTGTTAATGCTGTGGATTGAGACAGACTGTTTTTTGATTTTTCCCCAGATGATGAGTTTGAAGCTAATCCATGCACCTTTTCTAGTAATACGCTGTGCGAGGATTGCAAATGTGAACAATGCGAAGGTAAGTGGAACCGAAGGGAATTGAAGCCCCAAACTAGCATTCACATCTGCCTTTTTGATCCATATCCTGGCCAATTCAATATAAAACCAACACTCTCCTAGGAAAATGTATAGTATGTTTAACTCTCACAATCTTGTGTTTTTCAGGACCCAACAACAACAGGGAGTGCAAGTCCTGCAAAAGGTGGGATATCTTGCAATGTGACAGTTGTGGGAAAAGACATGTTTAGATTTGATCTTTTGTGACATTTTTGAGAGCGCTCATAGAACTCCAGAAATGAAAGTGAGGGCAGAAATCAGAACAGTGTACTGTAATGATGGCTCCTTTACGCACATTGACATTTTCTTCCATTCAATACATTGTTTCTCAGATATGTTATCATCATCACTATCTCTTTATCTTTAACTTTTCTGAGTTGCTATGTATTAAACATTCTATCATATTTATACATTTAGAGTTAATTTTCATATTTTTTTATAACATCATCCTATAATACTTTCAATTTCTGTTGACGATTCATTTTGAAGATTGCAACCAGAGTTTGTTAGTGTCTCATCCTCCATAAGGTTTATGTCACCTAGCCTGACAAAAACGTCTGTTTGGTCGCAAACAAAAAATGTGACAAATAGCCAATCAAAAAATTAAATTAGACTGACGGAAGATGAATCTCTAACCATTTTGATAATCTATTGTTTTATTAGTTTAATCAAGCAACAATGTCAACTTTTTCTGACAGCTTCTCAACTGTTATAATTACCGGTACCTCGTTTATGTTATTTGAAATTATGTGTTCAAAATAACAAAATGTCTATATTACATTTGAAGACTTTTTTTTAATAAAATATGCAAAAAGCTATTATGGCCATCAGCATTACGGTTGCACTCAAAGGGCCGGTTGTAACTTTAAGACTATATAAATATACATATATAAATATATAATAAATATAAAATAATGTATTATATTACATTATTGGCTCTGCCTTGGATTTTTATCAGTTCTGGTAATAACTCCATAAATAAAACATCTGAAAGCAGAAGTCTAGGGCACATAATTGAAAGCAAATATTCAACAATTACAGCAATTGTATTGTATATTATATTCTTTGCAAGCCCTTGCGGGCCAGACTAAATGAGGTCACGGGCCGGATTTGGCCCGCGGGCCTTGAGTTTGACACCCCTGCCCTAAAGAGATGATTGTGTGATGTCATAAAACCGATCCCTATATGTATGGATAAGATAAGTTGTCAGATTCCACTGTTGTCTTCATTTAGTCTCTTCTCTTTTTTCAGCGAGCAGTGTTTGCAATTCCCAGAATGCAAGAGGATATGCAAAAATGTAAAACCTATTCCAAATCGGTCTTCAATTACAACTGCAACCACAACTGCAACCACAACAGCATCTACAACTTCACTTTCAAATGACGCTCCAAATCCTGGTGTGAACCGAGTTCCACCGAATCCCTGTTAGTGCTAAATATCTGTGGCACTTTAACATGTGAAATGACAAAAATAACTCTGGTCTATTGTTTGTAGTTTCATACTCATATGCCCTAACATACTTTATTAGCTTTGGATATTTTAGTAAGCAAAACAGAGCCTGATTGATTCCTCTTTGTTTAAGTGGTCCTGTTGATTAGAAAGAACTACAGAATGTCCGAAATAACAGTGTTTCTCTGTGTCTTCACCAGTGAAGGAATTTCAGTGGCTTTTGCTCACTGGGGTTTTGGTGCCGTTTCTGGGCTTACTGTGGTTCGTGCTTTTCATTAAGAATCCATTCAAATGTCTCTGCTGGAGAGCGAAAAATGAGCTGGTGCCCCCTGTCGAAGATGCCATATTGAACGGTAACTACTGGTGGATTATTTAGTACAGTAAAAAAAGTCCAGCAACTTCTACCTCTACTTCACTTTGTTTTATTCTATTCTATTTTTTGAATTGGTCATTAATCAAAATATTGTAATGTTTTTCAGAATAACTTTTCCCAAAACTGAATCTTTAAGTGTTTTATATTAAACTAATTAAATATTTTTAAAATAGTTGACACATAAAATGCTTCTTACAATTCAATTTACCTGTAATGAACATCCAATATAATAATTTATAATAATTTAACACATCCATGTGCCTTTCTGTGTATAAAATAGTATATTTTTCTATTTATACCTGTCCTTTTAATTACTTTTACTTTTACATTTTGAATGGAGGTCTTTTACTTGTGGTATTGTAAACAGATATATACCGTTTTTTTGGGCGTTTGATAATTATCTACTGAGAAGATTTACACACTGTGAACAAAAAGTTAAAATGTATTAAAACATGTGTCACACAAATAAAGATACCTCATTTAGAAATCCTTACTTAATAGAATGATAATGCAACTTCAGAAGACATTTATTGCCACAGAAAGTATATCCAGTGTAAAACAGAAAGTGTTTTTCACAAAAATATAACCGAGTTTCAAATGTTCTTTCTTCACTGACAAGCAGGAAGCTTACTGATAATATCTGCTTTCCTCCAGAACAAGGCAGTCATCAAGGCACCAGCCCAGACACACTGGTTTGTGCTCGTTTCATACATTTTGTGTTCATATTGAGATCTAGAATGGTGCTGTTGGTGGACATGTTGACCACAATTTATTGTCAAATTTAACTTAAGCTATCAGCTGTGAACATTTTTAGAATCACATTCACATTAAAAAGAGGAGGTTTGACTGAATTAAATTGGAGTGATTTTAATTTATTTGTTCTTCTTTGTACTTTGAAGACATTACACATATCTGAGGAAACTCCCATGATGACTCTCAGTCAGAGTGCAGCCACACCAGAACACCCAGCCCACATCAGGCCTCTCCTACCAGACGGTGAACACAAAGGTAAGATTCAGCATCACAGCCTGTGAAGAATGTTGTGGTCTTGTGGTGTCAATTTACTGTGTTGTTTGAGATCATTGTTTGTCTACTGGTTCAGGGGGTGTTTCTGAAACCCCCCTTATGCTGCATTGATAATCTACCTACAAACTTTTAAAAATAAATGTTTTTTAACGCATGGCAATACATCTTCCGAAAATAAGCATTTTTCTACTCTCAGGCTTCTCCCAACAGGCCCTTAAGCTACCCCTCAAAATAAATTACAATTACAGGCCCAGATGAGACCTCTTCTGTTAAGTAACATCTTTGAAACGATTTTCTCGGCCCCAATCAATTATTCAATCATTAATAATCTGAATTTTGACGGTACACCGTAGCACAGACATGTTAAAGACTGCTCTTGCTAAGGTCTTAAATTACATCCACTTAGAAATAGCAGAGTTGAAAATCCGACAGACGTTTGTCAATTCGAAACATCACATCTGAGCATATTAAAATGACGAGGAGTTCCCCAAGGCTCTGCCTCTTACCATTATTGTGAAGAAGACACAAAGATGTATTCAAAGATTTTAAGCATTAAACAAATCAGTACTTGTATGTGCCAAAATGTTTGTTAAACATAAATGTAATAAATAATTGTCTTTGGATCCAAAGTAGAACAATACAAGCCTGTTATCGCCTTTAGTCGCCACCGTAAAAGACCACAAACCATGACCAAATCGTAGGGTAATCATTTTCTCAGGCCTACATTTTAACATCTACATTAAGAAAAACCAGCTTTCTATGCCCAAAAGAGTATATCAAGAAATAGAGGTCTAACGTCTTAGTAGGATTTAGAAAAAAGGGCCTTTACCATTACCTTGTGTTTTAAACGTCCTATTCAAATAAACTTAATCTGCTTTGCCTTGCCTTACCTTTGAGTATAAAATACACTTGAATTAAAATACTGCATGTTTTTACAGACTTAAGGGGCTGCAGCTATTTTTTACAATCAACATTTAGTTTAGTAAAGTAATACATTAAAAGTACTGTAAGATGTTGACAGTGCATTGATCTGCCCTACTTGAGTCTCCCTTCACCTTTTATATAAGAAGGTTAGAGGTCATCTCATGATCTTACAACTGCTGCTAACTGCTACTAACAATATTGTTTATAGAGTTACAGGAAGCAAACACAGTTATGAGTTGTTATGATCCGTTTCAGTACTGTGATGAGAAATAGGATAGACACATATTATCAAAGTGGCATTTTTCTTCATGAGAGTATGAAACTACTTTCTCAACATTTGTAAAGAAACATTTGTAACATTCGGCTGAAAAAGAGCCAAATCAAGACTTTTTGTGAGTGTTTATGAAATTGCTTTTTTGAGTTGGAACTACGCTAGAAGAAAGGAGAAATTGTGTGTGATAGATTAATTTGATCTTTGATCTAAGATAATCTTTTGCGCAAAGCTACATGTATGTCATTACTGAAAGTCAAAATGATGTCTCTAAACAATGTCAAGCTAATATAAGCAACTATTTTGCTAATGAGCTAAGCGTTTCAGTAATTTAATGTTCCAATGATTCCAATATTCACTAATTCCAACTTCTCAAATAAAAATATGTCTTGCTTTCCTCTGTTATATAACATTGTAAACTAAATTATTGGTATTCAAACCTTTGGTTCAAACAAAACAACAAATGTGAAGACGTCTGTCTCATTTGGCTCTTTGAAATAGTTTTTTTTCATACTGGTGCAATGTATTGCAAAAACAACAACCCTTGTCACCAAGTGGTAAATTCACACATTTTGTAAACTTTCTCTGCATCCATATCAATCTCTTGCTAGGTGCACATGTTTTGTAAGAGTATTTGCAAAGACAACTATTTAACATGGGTTCAAGTGTCACCTCACACCTACTTTGCAGAAAGAGGAAAACATTAAGGAGGTTTCGTTTCTTTTACGCACAACTTGTCATTTTGCCAAGTATGGTCAAGTGACACTTTCCCTAAATCTGATAACCGATGTTTTGTGCTGTCTTCAAATGCAGTGTTCTCAGTCTCAAAGCAGCAGTCCTTTCATCTTTGCATGTTTAGCACACGATTTATCATTGATCAAACTTGTGGCCCGCATTGTGGAGGCGGTAACTGGGAAACAGGACACCCTCACTTCTTCTCATGGGTCAACAGTTCAACCTTAGGGGAAATGGTCAATCAGATAGTGAGTGCATGTCTCTAACTACGAATTTGCATCCGTGTACATCATCTTTTAAACCCTTTTGAAATGGTCAACAGCCGCACGTGTATAAGTCGTAGTGAGGGTAAAAGGTTCATTAAAGCACATATATACTGTATTTTCCAATGCTTCTTTTATGGCAGTGTAAATGTTAAACACACAGACACTTTGTTATCTGTGGGAGGGGAAAATGAATGGCACCCTCCCTTTTAATTGCTCACTCTTTAAAATACTTTATTAGTTTGGTTTATTTGAAGCAGTTGATCAATGCTTCACTCTAATAATGCAGAACAAAAACCTTTTCATATTGAATGTAGTGAGTGCAAGGACGATCTCTTGTTTCTGCCTCCGCACCATTTTTTATATATTGATGACCTTCAGCTTACCTTGAGTCTTGGTTTACAGTTGGCCAAAAAAGCGTCAGCACACTCTTGCAAGTGACCTTTTCCACAGCAGAGTTTTGATCTGCTCTGATTATCTCTGATCCTCTTTCCAGTTATCAAACAAATCGAGCAAACTGAGCACTGGCCGGCCATCGTCCTCTATGCCATCATCAAGGAGGTGCCCCTGCGTAGGTGGAAAGAGTTCTTGCGTCTGCTCTCGGTGGCGGATCAGCAGATAGAGCGGGTGGAGCTGGAGGCTGGTTTGGGTATGGGCTCCATGGAGAAGCAGTACCAGATACTGAGGCTGTGGAGTCAGCGCTCCTCTGGCTGCCTGAATGATGTCTTCTCGGCCCTGCACTACATGGATTTATCTGGCTGTGCCCAGCTACTGCAGGAAAACCTGGACAAGCTGCAGTGGAAACCTTAACTGGAGCTATGTTCCCCAGTCTGCAGATGTTACAAAGACCATGGTTTTAATGGGGCACTGCAGGACACATGAGGCTTCAGCACCTGGGAACACAAGAACCATAAGAGAAAACTGCTTCCTAAAAAGGACACCAACTGGAGCAATAGTTCATCCCCAGGAAGCTGAAGTGACGTCAAAAGTGACTCATAATGAGTAATGCAGATGTTTTGTTTTCTACATATTTAATGGTTGAACATCATCAAATGCCCTCCAGATAAGTGTAAAATGTGTGCCTTTTTGAGTCTTTATTTGGTTGACAGCTGATATTGTACATATCAGTTCCAGGTTGGTTGCAGTGCAAAGTAATCTGCAGAAATGGCTTCCTCAAATACATGTCACAACAACTAAACTATTTTAGAAAGCCGCGTCATGGCCTGTAACAACTTAGGGCAGAACTCTAGTAATATAGGTGGAGATTTAAGGACAACATCATGAATAAAGGGGAATACCCTTTTTTTATCTATACAGCTTAATCTCCAGCTTCTCGTGACCCTGCTCTTAAAGGCCAACTGTTTGGTTAGAATCTTGTTCAGTTTGAGTATTTAAACTGTGTGAACAATCGTTGATGTTGAAGCAGCACACCAGACATCCCTTTTATCTCATTTGAGAATCAAAGTGTATTGGTACAACGCTGCTCACGTCAGTTTTTCAGTTTCCTGCAAATAAAACGTGTCAGGGCGCTGTAGACTGGGTTTTTCCTCACCACACATATTCCATCTAAACGATGGTTTCCTGCTGTGTGGTTGAAAGTATCTCACTTTGAGAGTTTATGTGTGTCATTCCAGTTACTGCAGGCAGTAATGCACTTTCCACTAAATCCATCTAATAATGTTTTTATATGAATCTAGGTCTGTCGTTTTTGGCTTTTTTCTTTGAAATATGCATTGTTCACACATTTTTAAATGATTGTGTTTTAATTTGGTACAATAAATACAACGCTTAATGAGTGGATTATTATACTTAGACTGTCATCGTTAGTAATTGTGTCCTCACTGGAGTCACCTGGTACAAATGTGTGGTACCATGGTATAGTAAGAGCCAGAACGTTATCATAAAAGAAGGATGTGATGAATAAAAGTCGTGGCCACCAGGTAGCAGTATTGGTATTGTGGTGTTTGAACAGTGGCAGCTGGTGTGCAGTGAGAAAAGGACCCAATACAAAGAAAACGTAGCAGGGTGTTGGAGGAGCTTTTATTCTTGAGGTGGATTAGACCAATCTCATGAATTGCAAATTCCGCTTCAGCAGCAGGAACAGCTGTCCACATTGTTCTTGGTAGATAAAGCAGAGATCCCGTACAGAGACAGATTTTAATATTGGTAGTATGCTTTTACATTCAAATAACGCATTTGAAATTCTGACAGAAGGGTAAGATTAACATTTAGTTCATACACATTAATATGTTGCAAGTAGGCTAGTTTTAACCTGTAATACGATTTTTAAATACTTTTTTAAAATACTGAAGGGTTTATATATTTCATAGGAGATATACATTATATTTATGGCTTGTCAATTCTTAATATTGGCCATTTTACACTATACATGAAACAAATAGCTTCAACAGTTTTTACAATGTTTTTCAATCACATTCATATCGACGGGCTATTTATGTAGATAGTAAGACAACTTTACCCTAGAGCTTTTCCTTTGTAAAAATGCCTGAGATTTGACTTTTTTTTCATGCTTTCAGCACTCCTATAAGCATTCACTGTCTTTTTCTGTCTACGTTTTCTGTTTACGAAAAGGAGCAGATTTTATCGCTGCCTTTAAGCAGTGAATCAACGATCTGCGTCTCTTCCAATGAGCACAGGCGTTAGGAGTTTCCATTGGCAACCGGATGCGTGGAGGGACGTCCCATCAACAGAGGACAGAGACATGAGGAGTTTACCGCGATAAGAAGCACATTTCAGTTGCTTCGTTTGTATATTATTGCTTTTTCTGTGTCTTTCCACCTGCTAAAGAATGTTTTCTTAACCCCAAAAACTTCGCTGCATTTTTGTTGTTTGAGCGGACACCGTGTTGCCCTGGTAACTCTGAGTCAAGAGCTATTGAGTTACAAAAAATAGGGCCCGGACCTTCAACCACAGAAAATGAACTGACAACGACCGTATTGGTAAGTCGTTTAACAATTACCAATTTAGTTTGTTTATTTTTTTTGGTATAGGCTTCTGTTGTTTACAACAACATGCAAAGCAGCAGGCAGGTGGGCCAGAGAAAGACCAAAACATCCACGCCCCTCACAAGGGGGCTAGGTTTTCATTATGCAAATCATCTGTTGAAACCATAGACTGTATATATAAAGGTTGAAACTAGGAATTATTGGATTAATTCTGACCTTTTTCTAATTTGTTTGTCAATCTAATAGTAGTGCACTCGTTTTTGTTGTCTTAGGGTAGTGTAATGTCCTTGAATTTGCCACAGTCATATTTTGTACTGTAAATCGCTTACGTTATAGTAATAGGGTAATATATATATATATGTAAATATAATATAGGCCGATATATATATAAATATAATAGTAGTTTCAACACAATTCCAGTATCAATAATGTTCACTTATTTTTATATTGGTTAAGACTTTCTAACATGCTTGACACTAAGTAATTAAGTGAGTCTTAAGACCATAATATTGTTGCTTAAGAGGAAGTTTCATCAGTATCATACTGCAGCGTGAACCTGATAATTATAAGAATGAATGATGGCTGAGTTTCATTTGAATGCTTTAGTTTCAGGGTCCTGGTATTGTTCACACTGTCATAATTCTTGAATATAACACACATATTGTTAATGATAACTCTGCTACTAAACATACTAACTTAAAAGGGAAAAATAATTTGAATATTCATTTTTTAGGTGACATCAATGTTGTCATCACTGTGATCAACTGCAAAACGGATCGAGGGGCTCTGCTGCCTGACCATGACAGCTGTGGTCCGACCTGGAGTCAGTGTCTCAAAGCTCTGTGGGGATGGAGACAGGCTCCTGAGGGCTGGAGATCTGTGGAGGGCCACCTCCCTCTACATGTCCGCCTTCAGGACACACGCCGCCTCCACTGTGTCCCACATGCGGAAACTAGAGTCCGGCCTGGATGGGGTGATCTCTACTCTGGAAAGTTGGCTCGACAGTCATGGGGAGATCCCCCCCGCTGAGGCTCTTAATAAAGGTCTTGCAGCTGTGTTTCTATCCACACTCTGCCCAAACAATTTGTCTGCAACCATTTTCAAGATGGAGTCTCTCCTTCAGAGTGGGGGGCATGGCTGTGAGGAGATTTTTGCTCGCTGCACTGCTCTGCTTGAAGGGATGCGAGACCCTTACCCAAAAGATGCCTCTCGCATGGTGTTGATGTTAACTGGTGCCCTGGCCTGCCTGTTCTCGGAACCTCACAGTGTTAAGGGATTGAAGCTTTATCTCAAAGCTTACAAGAGTAACACATCTGAAACTGTCACAATGGTCAAAAGCAGGCAAGCTCAGCATGTACCCAAAATAGTGAAGGCCTTTGTAGACCAAGTACTGCACATACATCCCTCTTTAACATTTCACAGTGAATGTGCAATTACAACAAAGGACAAGGAGAAGCTAGATGTGGAGACTTCTACAATTTTAGAGTTGTTATTGGCTATCTCACCTGGTAACAGAGAAGTGCAGGAGCTTCAAGCAGCATATTTGTGTTTGAGTGGCAGGTTTGTTGAAAGTGCAGAGGTGTACTCAGCTCTCTTGCATCATGATGGTCAGAACTTGTCAGAAAGGTCATTCCAGGTCACTCCTGAGAGAAGAGCTGGGCTCCTAACCAGTCGAGCAGCTGCCTGCTTGTCAGCTGGTGGACGGACTGCGGAGGTTTGCAGGGATCTGGGGGAGGCGTTTGAGACCCACCCTGCCAATGCCCGGATTTATTTTCAAAAACTATTCACAGATAATGGCACAGGGTTGGCTGCTCGTAACCATCTCCGTCAGCAGGCAGAGGGAGGCCTGTCTGGGTACAGAGAGAGGGTCCTCCTCCGCCCAGACCTGCGGTCCACTGAAGGAGTTGAACTACTGGACCCTGTCATCACTCGGTTACGCGCCCTGTGCCACTTAGAGGCTGACGGGGGAGGGAGGGAGCTGCGGGTACGGCTGGCCGACTGTCTTCTCCTCAGAGGGGAACACAAAGAGGCCCTCTCCATCTGCAGCCAGCTAGCGGCGGCCAAAGGTCAACATAGCTATCAAAACACAGTGCAGGTTCTCCGTGGATATGCACGAATTCTCTCAGACGACCACAAGGGGGCGTTAGAAGACTTCCAGGCTGTGATTGAACACGATGCCCCCCACCCGTCCAGCTGTGTGCGAGCCCTCTGTGGCAGAGGGCTCCTGCGCATGATGGGGGGATCAAACTACCTCACAGCTGTAGACTATGTGACAGCCAGCGGACTGCACCCTCAGGAAACAGCGCTGACTGTCCGCTGCTTGGTGCCATGGAACTACCGGGGGCTGCTGTTCACTGTTTTACTGGAGCAGGGACGGGTCATGCTGGAGGGGGCAGCAGAGCACAAAGCCAGGTCCAGGACCAGTGAAGACTCCCAGCAGCCCCAGCAGGGGGATAAGGCACAATCAAAGAAAGACAACCACAGAACAGGGTATAATGTTTGTCATACAGTTTACTGAATACACCTTTTTTGGGGGAAATGTTTATTAGTCTCATTCATTTTATGATGAATTTTCTAATTGAAATCCACATTTGAGTTTTCTCACCAACATGCATGTTCTCAGTGTTGCACTTTTGCCTGCTCTGTGCTTCAGGACTCCTGCTGGTGTCCAGTCCCTGGCTGCGCTGCTGGTGGAGCTGCAGCCCGGTGCTGATGGGTCTCAGATTCTGGCAGCAGATGCCTTGTACCAGCTTGGCCGGGTGGAGGAGGCCTACCGGCTACTACTCTCCATCGGTCCCACCAACGCTCGGGCACCCATCCTGGCTCGCCTCGCCCTGCTGCAGCTGCACAGAGGCTTTCTTTATGACACCAATCAGGTATGTGGGTCAACAAGTGAGGTCCACAGGCATTCATTTGGGCTCCTTATTTTACAAATTTTTCATTGAAAGAGATACAGATTCCTTTACTGTCCTTTTTCTCTGCAGCTGCTGAAAAAGCTCATTCAGTGTGGCGATACCAGCTGCTTGCGCCCCCTGTTGGCTGTGGCACAACAGAAGGACCGGGCTCTGCTGCAGGCGCACTGCCACTCTGTTGCCAAACGCATCCTGGAGGGCACTAAAGAGGAGAGCGCCATGAGGGAGGCTGTGGCATATCTCTCCATCGCTATCATGGCCTCTGGTGATTAGAATGTGATTGATGAGATATTGATGTAGTTGCTACTGTTCTGTTTCTGATTGTTGACATAATTAAAAGTTGGTTAAACTTTCATTTAGATAGGATTAGAGAGATAAAGAGAAAGCCTGGCTCAAAACTGAATTTTTTTTCTGTTTTTGGTTGCAGTTAATGAAGAGTGTTTTTGATCAGTGTTTCTTCATTTATTGTTAGTCCGTCTTTAAATATGGATCAGTCGATAAAATGTAAAATGATTACAGTGTGAATATGGTAAGACCAACCATATAATTGTATGTTTCCAGGTGGTGAGGCAGCAGAATCTTTACTGGAGAGAGCGAGGTGTTACGCACTGCTGGGCCAGCGAAAGACGGCCATCTTTGATTTCAGTGCCATTCTGAAAGAGCACCCTAGACATCCTCAGGCCCTCTGTGGGAGAGGCTTCACCTATCTCATGCTGAACCAACAAAAGGTATTCTTAAGTGAAAACGTTCTTTAATACAGTACTTAAAATAGTAAAACATTTCCCCTGGCCTCTAGATTTTGAGCTTACACATAATTAGCTGCATGGCAGTGAAATGTA